GGGTATAAGAAATAACACGAACTTTGGATCAAAATTATTCTAAGATTGTAATTGATAGAGGGTCAATTATTTTGTAACCATCTGTTAAGTGTCTTTTTAATCTCTATGATTGATATATATTTATATTTATATTTATATATGTCTGTATGTGTATCTATATATATACCGGAAAGAAAAGCCCCCATCCGCCATTGCACACCTTGACATCCAAAGCTTACATAATACCATTTTTCTTAGTTTCTAAAAGGTGAAATTGGTTCTTGTGAATCTATCTCTTAAGAAACATGGGTGCCGGTGGCCGTTCAACTCCTACTGATCTAGATGTTAAGAAATCCGATACCGATCGTATCAAACGAGCCCCAACCTCAAAACCGCCATTTACCTTAGCAGATATTAAGAAAGCCATACCACCTCACTGTTTCGAAAGATCCTTGATTCGATCCTTTTCATATCTCGTTGCTGACCTCACCGCAGTCTCGATCTTCTACTACCTCGCCACAACTTATATCCCACAGCTCCCTCACCATCTTCCTTACCTTGCCTGGCCGGTTTACTGGTACGTTCAAGGTTGTGTGTTCATGGGGATTTGGCTTATCGGTCATGAATGTGGTCATCATGCCTTCAGTGACCATGTATGGCTCGAGGATTGTATTGGGTTTGTTTTACACTCATGCCTTTTAACGCCTTACTTTTCCTGGAAAATAAGCCACCGCCGGCACCATGCCAACACCGGTTCTCTTGACCATGACGAAGTATATGTTCCAAAGACAAGATCAAAACTGGGTTCTTCCGCGTTTTACCTCGACAATCCAATCGGTCGAACATTAACCCTTATGGTCAAACTCAGTCTCGGATGGTATATCTACTTGTCAATCAATGCTGCGGGAAGACCTTATGACAAGTTCGCAAGCCACTATGATCCCAGAAGCCCTATTTTCTCAGATAACGAGCGAATCCTGATCCTCATGTCTGATATCGGACTTATCGGCTTTTCTACCTTGTTGTACAAATTGGCGACAATTCACGGGTTCGCTACCGTTTTTTATGCCTACGGAGGTGCGTTAATGGTCATGAACGCGTTTCTTGTGATCATCACATACCTTCATCACACTCACGCTTCTTTGCCCCACTACGACGACTCTGAATGGAACTGGATGAAAGGTGCTTTCGCAACAGTAGATAGGGATTACGGAGTTCTAAACAAGGTGTTCCATAACATTACCGACACTCATGTGCTTCACCATTTGTTCTCTTACATTCCTCATTATCATGCCATGGAAGCCACCAAAGCGATCAGGCCAATTGTGGGAGAGTTTTATCAAAAAGATAGCACTCCATTTTACTTGGCGTTATGGAGAGAATCCAAGAACTGTCTGTTTATCGAGCCCGATGAGAGCGATGAGAAGAACAAAGGTATCTACTGGTTCAGAAGTCAGTACTGATCAGGAAAGCAAACATGTGAAATGGGAATTAAGTTGTTATCCTATGTAATTTGAATGATGTACTATTTGTATCTTGTTTTTCCTACTTTTAAGTAATGATGTAATTCCTCCAAACATTACTATAATAAAGAAAATCATCAGCATGTTTAGCAATGGACGAACTTTTTGTTAGTTTTACGATTTAAAGAAAAACGTATTAATGGTTGTTCAGGTGTTGGAGGAATGCGTTAAAAAATTAAAATCAGATAATGAGATGATTGCTGGGTTAATGCGGACTCCGGCGTAATGGCCGGAGAAGAAGACTAGCAACAGCCACGTTGATGCTTCTGTTCTACAAAGTTTAAATGGGTCAAAGATATTTAAAAGAAAAAATTATTCATTGTGGGTTCTGGTCCAAATTGGTAGGCAAGGATTTATAAGAAAATAAAAAACTGCATAAATGGTCCTATGATATTATTATAGTTTTTGTTTGGGTCCCTACGGAATTTGTTTTTGTATAAACCGTTTTACCTTTTGGTCCGTCCTTTTGGTCTTACTCTCTGATGGTCTTCTTTGGTGAAAAAGAAATAAGGAATTTGTATACTCAATGCCTTAATTGCAATTCTTATAAAAAAAAGTGTGGTTTGGTGAAAAAGAAATAAGGAATTTGTATACTCAATGCCTTAATTGCAATTCATTAAAAAAAAAAAAAAAAAAAAAAGTGGTAATAAGCAGTGAATGGGAACTAGTGTGGTGATTAAGAAACATCTCGAAGAAACCACTTGTAATAAATCCGGAAATGCCTTCGTCGTCTCTAGCCATTGTGCCGCACTTACTTACTCATCTCATCCGGCATGTATAAGGGTTTCTTTTTAATCGCATGGAAAGGGGTTTATTGAATGTGAAATGAGGGGATAATGGAGCGTGAATGAATAAATATGGGTTGTTGTAATTGATGGGGGAAGAAAGGGAGGGGAGAAGGGAGGTAACCGAAGAAGATGGTTGCTGTTGCCGATAGAAAGGAAACCGAAATAAATTAGTCAAGGAGGGGATGTTAGTTATTGACTATAGATTACATAATGAGTGTGTTAGTGATTAGGGTTTAGGCAAGACTTTAAGATTACATCTTTTATGTATCTCTATTTATATGATGATTAACCTTAGTATTTATTAATAAAGCAAACTATTATTTGTCATGAAATCAGAGTTTTAGGTTTAAAGCCTACTGATCACAACTCGTAGTAGCCGCCCTCCACCTTCGGTGATCTTTCTCTAATAGTTGCCGGAGGTGCCTTCATTATGTTTCATATTTTGTTCGTTTGTTTTTTCCGTTTCCTAAATAATAAAACATCCGTCGACACCAAACTAGAGCTCTTACCTTGGCTTTTTCTACCGTCTGGTTTGCTTATATCTTCTCGTCGGATGGTTCCTGCCTCTAAGCTTTTTGTCTTCTCCTCAACTTGCATTTTCTTCAGATCTATTTTCCGAGTTAGTCGGAATAGGCTTCGTCCGCCGCAGCTCGAGCCCTTTTTCTTTTTCGCTGCTTTTCTATGGATTCCTTTGCCGCCGACTCGATGATCGACGTCGCTGCCACTCCTCTATTCTTATACAAAGATTCTGCCGCTGGCCGCCGCTTCTTCTCTCTCCTTCTCCTACAAGCATTTTTTTAGCCGTCAACGTTAGAGCTCTACCATCGTCGCTGCCGTTGTCTTCATTTATGTTATGTGTTATGTTTTTGTTTTTCCAGTTTAATCGTCCCCTACCGATCAAACTGCGGGGGATGTTAGTGATTAGGGTTTAGGTCCAAGTCTTTAAGATTTAGATTAATTTTCTTATATATCCCTATTTATATGAGGTTTAATATCACTGTTTATCAATAAAGAAATCTATTATCTTTCAGAGTGGTTTTCAGATTGTCGGAGAGAGATCGGAGGAAGGGAAGAGACAAACCAACTTATAAGTCTTCTTTTACCCGAAAAAATGCATTTTAGTGTTCACTGTGACAGTTGGCTTTGGGACTTTGTCACTTCTTAGGATTTGTTGGTTAAAGTCACTTAAAAGTGGATTGATGAACATGTGTTATCGGTTACAACTGCCCTAACCAGATGAAATCGTTTTGTTCCTAGAAAAGTTAACATTTTTTTTATAAAGAGCTTTATTGTAATTGACTTCCTATAAGACTGAATTTAGAGCATTAGGAATTGACGTTTTGTCAGTCTTATGTCATTTATTCAGATCATGTGGAGACATTTGTTTGTGAAATGTCAGATCATGTGGAGAAGTTGGGCCATTTGTTTGTGAAATGTCAGATCATGTGGAGAAGTTGGACCATTTGTTTGTGAAATTTGAGGTGACTGTAAGAAATTGGAACGTGGCTTTCCTTGAGCTTGATCTTCAGACTTTTGGTGCCTTTTTATATATGATTCCCTAGGTGATTTCTATTCGTCTTTTGACCTTAAAGATGTTGGTCCTGGAAGTGATTGTCTTCACGACTTGTTGGATTCTTTGGTGATATTGGAATCCCATCTTTTTTTTGTGATAAAAAAAACATAATTTTTTTTGTAGAGTCAGTTAAAGAGATGTCGTTTTTATAGGGGAAAATGACTTATCAAGGTAATTAACTTTTTGGTATGTTCACATCTGAGTAACCATCTTTTTTTTTGTACATATCTAGGTAACAAACTTGTTGGAAGTGTTCACATATGACCATTATGACCTGCTGTAGCAGGTTACATCCTAGATGTGAACATTTTCAACAAGTTCATTACCTAGATGTGTAAAAAAAAGTAGTTACGAACAAAACGAAAAGAGTAAATTACACGAATGGTCCCTGTGGTTTGGGGGAATTTGTGTTTTTGGTTCCTAACTTATTTTTTTAACTCGGATGGTCCCTACTGTTTATTTTTGTTGTACGTTTGGTCCATGTGCTACCTAAAAAGACTATTGTGCCCTTATTAATTTATTTTTTTAATTAATTTTGTTATTTATTTATTTATTGTTTATATATTTAAAAAAATTAATAGACCCCACATATCTATTAATACTAGATATGTTAGCTTTAGAAGTAAATTTTTATATATTTTTTGTTACTAGTATTAAAAACGTTTGTATGCTTAAAAAAATGTATTTATTTTTTATATATTTAAAAAAACATTGAACGCTACTTCTAAAGCTAACATTTTTTTAAGCTAACATATCTGTGGGGTCTATTAATTTTTTTAAATATATAAAAAATAAATACATAAATAAGAAAATTAATTAAAAAATAAATTAATAAGGGCACAATAGTCTTTTTAGGTAGCACAGGGACCAAACGTGCAACAAAAATAAACAGTAGGGACCATCCGAGTTAAAAAAATAATTTAGGGACCAAAAACACAAATTCCCCCAAACCACAGGGACCATTCGTGTAATTTACTCTTACTTTTCGTTTTGTTCATTACTTTTTTTTACACATCTAGGTAACGAACTTGTTGAAAGTGTTCACATCTACGATGTAACCTGCTACAGCAGGTCATAATGGTCATATGTGGACACTTCCAACAAATTTGTTACCTAGATTTGTACAAAAAAAAAAGATAGTTACCCAGATGTGAACATACCGAAAAGTTAATTACCTTCATAAGTCATTTTCCCTTTTTATAGTTCCATAGTTGAAACAAAAATCTTGTTATTAATTGGGTTCATTGGTTGAAAAATCCAATGGATGCTATTTCTTTGTAATATTTGGTTCTCGATCTAACTAACGTGTTAAAATTGATAAAACAAAGGATATAAAATATAACAAAAGATTGACAGAACATCAACGCATAAAACAAAGGATATAAAATAATAAAAATAAAGGCATAAAACAAAGGGTATAAAATAATCACTTAACG